TTCTGGGTTTTATGAATGCAGTGCTGCCCATGTTTTTCCTCTCTTTAGCAAACACAGGAATAATCCTTGCACACATTTGTTCCTCCATAGCACCTTGGTCTCCCCAGAGTTAATTAATGACAGGCTGGGGAGGAGCATGATGAGCATGGCGAGGGTCGGGTGATTGGTACAGTTGAGCTAGCACTAATGCTGGCAAGCTATTGCTATGTTAGCAGTGAGGTTAGAGAACATTATTGTTGTTGATTTTGTAGCCATGTTTAATTATAAACAATTAAGAAAAAATTTGTTTGTACAAGAATTGCATGAATTAGTACAAGAGCTGTAAAGAAAAATACTTCCCAAATCATATTAATGGGTTTGCAAAGACTGCAGCAGCTTGTGTTGACAACATGGATTATTTTGTCTATACCTAAAAAGAAAATGTATTTTTTTTATTTGTTTTTTTATTTGCATTGACATTAGTAACTTGCCCTGATTGTTTTCTGGCTTCACTTGGTCTCAGAGGGAAGAAAGAGACTTTCATAGTTTGTAATGCTGTTTTCACCTTATATCCTCAGATATGCACACGTTCATTTTCACAAAATGCCACTGATTAGTAAATATTGATAGGCATGCTACATATTACTGAGTGAGAACAAGCCACGAAGTGTTGTTCATGGAGCCTTTGATTTCTCAGCTCTGTGGATGAGCTGTCCCTGTACTCCTCCTCTTCTCCTGTGCCTCTTCCACGTCCTGCGCTGCCGCTGCCTATTATTATTTCCACTGTGTAATTGAGATCCAGAAACATTGACAGAACTCATTTACTGCGATGGAGAACTGTGTAATGTGGAAGGGAACACAGATTATTACATCAAACTGCACGCACATACACAGACAAAAGCAGGCAGACGCGCGTTAGTAAAAGAGAATGTAAAGTGGCACCAAGGCCCTCTTCAGTTGTTCTGCCAGGATTCCTACTTGTGTTCTTGTGTGGCCAGGGACAAAGGTGAACACATTCTGGGTGATTGCTTGTTGATCTGTTGGAGTGTGTATACAGGTGTTTACTATGAGAATAACACATCAGTATGCCTGTGAGTGACTAGGCTATTGAAATGGGATTGCTCTGTTGGCAGGCTCTTTCATTACACCAAAAATATTCTGCACTTAAATGAAAACGGCAAACACAACCTAAAATCTTAAAGGGTTATTTCACTCAAAACACTAAGAAATCTCTCGAATCTTGCTTTTGTCTCTGTGTAACATCATTCTTCCTATTCCTCCTGCATCAGGATGACAAAGAAGGTGGCTCATCCTCTTGAGACAAAGGACGTCACTCACACACATGTGGACACGTTCTCAAACAGACACGTACGCACACACGTACACAAGAGCACTGAGGTCTGCTGTCATACACCTCTCATTAATTCCTACCTGTCAGCCAGCTCCCCCTACCGTATCGGCCCCCCGAAAGGTGACAGCTTTCCAATGACTGACAAAGGCTCTTTAGGTGATACAGAGGATCCCTAGCAACTGCTGGCTTCTGTAAAGTGCCCCTCAAATGTCACTTTTGCTGCTCTAAGACGTGCGCACACACACCCACACACAGTATTTTTAAAACAGGCCTGCTCTCAAGTCTTCAACCATCTTTTGACATCCAGAGGCTATGAATGTCACAGAGGCCTCAGCTCTTAAAGCTTTTAACATCCGAGAGAGATGGTGTTATTTGACAGTGCTATTGGTGGATGCTATTGTTGCGTGTCGTTTTCCCCCCAAGTGAATTGGATTTGCTTGTTTTTTTTTTTTGTTTTTTTTTCTGCTATAAGAGGCAGATCAGGAATAGCGAGAAAGAGAAGCAAACATTCCCTCTGTGTCCATTCAGCTGTCATGCATTGAGTGGCAACAGCAAGCAACGTTGGTGTCTGCTTGTACTAATCGGGAGGTACACAGAAACGTTGGCTTCTTGTATTGACGTCATTCAGCTGTCGATGCTGATTCCTTAGCACAACCTTACCTGTGTCTAGTGTTGTCTGTTTTATAGCAGTAGGCAGAAGCATGTAAAATATTTGACATGGTAAAACTTCACACCTGAGGCAGCAAGAGGTGGACATGTAGTACTTTTTCCTCTCTTGTCCTTGTTTACTTAGTACTAGTGCTGGTACTGTCACAGACTAAGTAATGGTGTGACTGCACAGTAGGTGAAAGAATGTAAACATAACAAAAAAGGTTTTCTATTCCATCCAAAACACTGAGCGTCTTTGTTATTGTGACATGATTGTAAACTTTGTCCGTATGGTAATCTCTGATAAACTAATGGATAAGGCTAGGTGAAAATTGGAGTACATCCAGTGCTTGGATGAACATGAAACTCTCTCATTTGAACTGTCAGCACAACAGATAAGTGTTATCAGTATTTGGTTCTGTGTGTATATATAAATGTAAGGAGAAACATCTACTACAAGGTGGATTTTGGTTAATAAAAAAAAAAAAATCTAATCAAGGTGCTCACAATTTTACCATGTGCTGCTAATCCCATTTGAAAGCTACAGACAATCTCAAGTATCCTAAATTAGTTCAGCTTTGGATTCATAATGTAGATGAATACTACAAACTGGATTCATAACATAAACTTACAGTACAGTATTGTTTTGTTATCAGGGAGACTCCAGTGTTCCTAAAACATGGAGAATATAGCATATTCGTAGCTTTAAGCATCCTTAGGTTATTGCAGTGACATTTTGGACAATATGCTTTACAAAAGCAGGCCTCAACTTTACACTTTACACAAGCCTCCAGTTTAAAGTACAAAACGTATGGGTGTGTAAGAGGGAGAGTTAGTGAGGGAGAGAGAGAGAGAGACTGAGCGTATCAAATTAACAATTAATACACACTGACTCAAATGAAAATCACAACAGGATATGACTGCTCAGAGAACAGCACACGGGTGGGTGGTTTTGTAAATGGAAAAGCGGTCCTGTGTAGCCAAGTGTGTAGAGTGTGATGCATACAGACTTTACTGCCCAAATGTACATACTTGTGATACAGCAAATATACAAATGTGGCCAAGATGTTGACTTCTGGTATTTTATTTTTTAGCACTGATTCTGTTTCGAACAGGCTGAAACCATGTGGTGGTTTAGGTTGCCGTCCTGTGTGATTGTTAGCTAGTCTGTCTCTCTATCAGCTGTAGGAGTAAACCTGAGCTTGAACTGACATTAAATTAATAATTAGCGGTTGCTACATCAGTTAAATTCAGTCAAACCCCAATCCTTAAGGCAGCTGCTTTTTAAAACTTGTTTGTTACTGGTCAGCTTGTGTTTTGAAAAGTGTCAAGACTGTAGGCATAAATTAAACTTTACTGATTGCTTATGTAATTTGACCAATTTGCTTGGCTATTAATGAGTGTATTGAATGCATATTCACTAATATTGTCAATGAACTGATAAAGATCAGCACATCCAATTTTTAGTAATCACAACCATAATCACCTTGTTAGATGTTAACTGAATATAAGAGCCTCTTAAGTAACTCAAATGAGTCTTCAAAGTTGAGATTCCACATGTGAAAACCTCTGACAAAAGCTAAGATGAGCAGGTGATGTTAAGATATGAAAAAGTGCCCTAGAAACAAATTATCACAAGAAATGGAGCAAAATGATTCCTATGCACACACACACAGGATGTCATGCAGGTTTAAATTTACTCCATCAGTAAACCAGATGATTACATTCAGTAAACGACCACAATGTGAGGAGGGCTCAGAGCAAATAACCATTTCCTCTGTGCATGCTGATTGTACATCTTACCTTTGAATGCAAATTGATTTAAAGTGTCTCAATCTCTTTATCTGAAAACTACATCTACATCCCTGTTTTTGTTTAATGAAGTGACAGATATGATGGCTCAACTAATATTGTTACTTTGCACAGGTTGACATATAAAACACATGTTGAGTTACTCCTATTGTACTAACTAATAAGATAATAAGAGAGTCAACATTTGCATAATTTAATTCTTAAATTTTCTGAAAATTTTTATTATAACATGGTTTGTGTCCTATCTGTCATTTAGCTGTTTCTAAGGTAATTCTTTCGATAGGACAAAATAGATTTGAACTTTGAACCTTGCTGCTAAATTAGAATGGAGATTCCCACATCTTTACAGCATCAAGGATCTATCACCTTTAGGAATGAGGAAAATGTTTAAAATATGTGGATCAGGGTTCTCTGCAGAAATTAATTATGTAACCTATTGTAGCATGTCTCAAAAGTTCATGGTGCATAAAAAAACTTAATATGCATGGCCTTCACCTTTACAGGCTCATAAAATCATAGAGTTGTGCTTAATTTTTTTTTATAATGTGAAAGAGATAATTTATTAAGACCAGCATATGTTAACAACACTCTACATGAGAGAGCCTTAAAAAAAGTTGGGTTTCATGTCCACTCACACACCCACTGAAAGGTCAATAATATTTTTTAGTATGACTCTAATGAGTTTCATGTTCTTAGTCACCACCTTTAAATTAGGTTTTGTGGATAGCAGGGCTATTAATAGAAATGTATTTTAAAGGAAATCAGAGGTTGTGTCGTATTTCTATAAATACAGTGCAAGATTTATAGAGATGAGTACATATATTTCAGTGTATTACTTTAAGTTTATTTGTTCAGTTTAGACAGGATATCTCATACACCACCTTTCCTATCTGTCCTGTCTCTCCAGTATGTTGCCTATGTGGAAAAAACAACCTGAGCAGAATATAGAAGAAAGGTGAAATGGTCACTTTTAAAACCACACTTTTTATGCACATGCATCAGCTGGACTGATGAAGTCAGGGCCATGCATGTTTTCAGACCAGGGCAGGTCTGGCAGCCCTGCCTACTACTTGATTAGGCCGCTCTGACAACCCAGCAGCCTGGTAAGGTCAAGCCCTACAGAGTGTCAGAAAGGTGGGATGATGATGTGTCTCTCCAATGCCGCCATTTTTCACCTCTTGACTTTGTTGTTTTTCTTCTTTTGCACCAGTGTCAACTTTTTGCCCATCTGCCAGGGGACATGTCTCCTATCAGAGCTGAACTGTCAAACTATTAACCCTCTGTGTACCTGCAACAATGCTGTAAGTACATTTGTGATTATGTGCTTGTTGTTTATCATATTGTCAGTTAGTAGAATACACTGAAAACAGAATTTGGGGGCTTTTCTACCTTTCGACTTTCTACTGTCCTGGCATAGTGAAATATTAAGTGGAGCAGCCTGCACAAATATCAGTAGCAGACATTTGTTAAGAGGCAGAATTTACCTGTTTTCTGCCAAAAATCAAATATTTTATTTTGACACTGACTGAGTTGCAATGTTTTTTCACACTGAACTCCAGGACGGTTTTTTTATCACAAAGAATCGAGCTCAAACTATTGAACATTGTTGAGTGGGCATTGTTCTAAACATTCATGATGCTCCCACTGCTTCATTGAGTGACCACCTAACAAGTGGCTTCAGATTTGTTTTTGTGCCTGTGTTACTGTAGACATTTAATTTTTAAAAGACAATCTTACCTCTGTTTGCCATTTTAGGGTCCAAAATACTTCTCAGATTGTTTAGTGTAAAGATTATCCTTTGAGCATGACTTCAATATGACTTTGCATTGCACATTGTATGATCTATACATTTTATTCGGAGGTATTATGTGTGCATGTCTGACAGTTAAATGGTATTGGATCAGAGTATTGTACTGTTATGGAGGCACCTTTATTTATTTATTCCTTGAAAAGGCATTCCCCTGTACGTGTACACATTTTAAAATCAAACTGAACACACACAAAGTATACAACAGTTGCTTTTATGCTTACAAAACATTTACAGTTTACATGCACACAGTGCAGGTACACAGCAGTTTTATCACAGAAACAAAGAGATGTACTGTACTGTTCTCAGGGATTATTGCAAGTAGCTCACAGGTGACAACAGCCGCTGTGAACCGGATGTCTTGCCCTAAGCCAGCTGTCCTGTGCGCTGCTGCTTCTGTAGAGACGTCGCTTGTTGTTAGCTTGTAATAGTGGATATTTCAACTAATAAAGTTGGAGACATAGCTGCACAAGCTGAGGTCAGGAAACTGGCTATTCTTAGCATAACCTTGCTCATATTATGCATTATGTCTGAAAGGAAATGGGTCTAAACTATATGATACCTTACATTGGTAAATCTTGGTATTTGTCAGATAATGTGACTCAGGATGACACAATAGGACACAGCTCTGCTAGATTTCTCTTTTTCCCTGTTGGTGTGTGTCTGCATCAGTGTCTCTGTATGAACAACACAGGAGGGAGGGATGAAGTTTGTATTATGTGTATGGTGTTGTACGTGTGTGAGCGTATGCAGGGAGCAGTGCATGTGTCTGTGCTCAGGTGGCAGATACCCTAGGTAAATCACTTCAGATCCATTTATTCAGAAGCCTTGTGCAGACGACACCTGCACAGTGCTGCCAAAGAAGTGCCACAATGTCAGCGACTTCGTTTGCAGCTCTGACCCCCCCGGCTGGCATGTGTGCGAATGTGCATGTGTTCGTGTGTAACCGTGTATCTATATACACACAGTATTATGTGTTTGTCTCTTTGTTAGGTAGCTCAGTCAAATGCGTCTTTTTCAGAGAGAGAAAAATCTGTGTTCTTGCTGTGTTTCTATCTGTGATTTCTGCCTTAAATCAAGCTTCACTCCTGAGGATGAGTAGTTAATTTAATTACTGAAATGATGCAAAAAATGGAGGATTCTTTGGCTCTTATCTAGCAAATTAATTTTTTAAACGATTGAGATCAAATTATTGGTATTTTTAGTCAGGATGAATTTATATTTCTTGATATGACAGCTGTCTTAATCTGTGCTCAAAATGAACTCGTTTGTGTGTGTGATTTGTGCATTGACAGTCAGTTGTGACAGTTGTAAAGTGTTCTTGAAAAAGCGCCCAACGTGGACACTCAAGACAGCCAGACGAAAGATTTGCAGGCTGTGATGTTTGTGTGTCAAATTACTTATCTCACTAAGCATATGCTGGCACTTCAGAATCGTATTCTTCAAACTCGGAGTCTTCAAAAGCGTCAAAAAGGGCCGTCTTATTCAACACATCAGTCATATAGCCACCAGCAAAATGAGCAAGATGTCATTTGCACTCGACAAAAAGCATTTAAAAGACACTTTTCATGACTGTTTCAATTTGGAGAGACTGTTAATGATATCATCTTAGTTTCCTATTCTGTTTTTTTTTTCTGAAGATGCAAATGAATGGCAAAGAGGACTTAAATGTGCACTTCTGCTAACGCTTTGCCAAATATTAATTTGAATCCTAAAGACAATTAGTAAATTGCTGCAGGACCCATTATCCTGCTGTTGCCCCGGATTTCTTTCTTTTTTGAAGAGTGAGTCAATCTTAGGGTCAATTTAGCCTGCCACTAATGACAAAACATAAAATAATGATTCTCACTATCACACGTTTGGCACCAATTTTAAAAAAGCCATCTTCTGTTTGATGAGCGTGAAATAAAATCTTACAAGTAATGCTGACTTAATAATAGAGAAAAAAACAACAAAAATATCTTCACCAAACACCCACTGTGCTTTCTCATTCACTGTTTTCTCTTGTTTGAACCCTCTCCTCACACCTCGACACACACACACACACACACACATACACACCAGTCCTTAAGCTTCAAGCAAATATCCCCCTTAGTTTGTGCTGTTCCAAGTGCTACAGAGGGCTAAACTATTTCATTGCGCTAATTGGCCAGTGTCATTCCTGACGTTTGGATAAACAGAGGAAAAGAGGTAAAACTGAGACAAATGGTAGCTAATTAAACTGCTGTGTCCGTGTGTGTGTGTGTGTGTAAGAGAGAGAGAGAGAGAGTCCGTGGCAGAGAGAGAAGCCAAAAAAATGGATTGACGGAACAAAACACCCAGCTTGACAAATGCAGCAACTATTCCTTGTGATGAAAACAACATCTTAGAAAAAATCTGCCCTCTACTTTGTTTTAAATCCTCAACTTTTCTTTAATTTGATTTTATTTAACACAGATGGAGAGAGAAAGGAAAGCAATGATTGGCCACGTTTTACTTCGACTGTTTTAGCAGGAGGAAGGCATTTTAGGTTTACAAGTGGTCCTTTATCCAAGTTAGAAGTTTTTATTTTTACAATTTCTTTCTCATGATTGAGAATTTTCAATAAAAAGCACGCAAAAGTATGTGTCTGTAAATCATTCCCCCAGCTTTCTCTAGCCCTCGCTGCTGCAAGTTATCTGATAAAGCAAGACTGGCATAAAAACCTACTTCAAAGAACAAGAAAAAGGAAGATGGAGAGAAAATAGTGGAAGAAACACTTAAAATGAACTGAGGAATGTTTGAACTCCGACCCACAAGGAACATTTGTTTCCAGAGTTACTGTGTTGGCCCTCCATATCATCCCAAGGGAGATATCTTCCTCACCATTTCTCTGTTATACTATGTGGCACCATTTCACCTCATGTTACAGCCCTCTCTCTCTCTCTCTCTCTCTCTGTGTGTGTTTGACTGACTCACAAAAATGGGCACACACACAGACACACACATGCTCACATACACTCCCTCAAACCCTCGCCCATCCTCCATCTCGCCTTTCTCACATTTGACCACTTGTCGGGGATGTTTATGGGCCATTGTTTGCAGCGCTGATGATCATTGTCACTGGTTGATTCCATTACCCATAGGGTTCTGATGGATGGGGCCTTCCCTGACGTCCAGTGATACGGGTGTCCTTGACCACTGGGGCAGACGCAATAAATGGGTGGAGCGGTGGGATGGACAGTTGGGTGTTTTATTTTTTTAATTCCATATAAAGAATGTAGCTTTTCTGATTGATGTTATTAAGGCAGTTCATTTGCAGGTGAACTGAGACAAAATTGCACCAAAAAATACAGTAGTTTCCATATTTGTTTTGTACCATAATGTATATTTAACTATGTTTTAAGTAAATGTAATAAATTTACAGAACTGATTGTTGGATAAACACTATTATCCCAAAGGGAAAATGGATTCTCCTGTTGGGCACATAATTGAATATACACAAAAACATGCTCAGGAAAAATAATCTGAAAAAGTTGTCGGATTTAGTTTTAGGGAAAGTTCAAGGATTCAAAACAACTATTTTGTTAAAAAGGGACCTTTTGTCAGCATGGTTACAAAACGCATTACATGTTTAATGGTAATTAACAAGAGAAACCAGTGGTGACTAGAGACGGGATACAGGAAGTGGACAGTTGTCTCCTGTGTTAAAGTTTCTCCTTTGCTCCTGTTAGACAAAACTCATACAATGGCAGCCGGAGGGCTTTTTCACTAGAATATAAACCAGTTCATTTTGGGGAATTTGCTGGAATTTATTTTTTTTCCTTGGGTCTCTACTTTGCAGATGCTGAGAGTGTACATGGTTTCCTATGGTACGGGCAGAGAGAAAATTATCCAGCAATAAACAGTACACAGTACTGCACAGCACCAACAGAAGTATTCATACAACTACAAGAAGCTGGTAAGAAAACCTGTTTTAGTGCAAAAGAGGCAAAAAACTAAGAATGATACATGTTTCTGGCATTTTCACTTGATTATGCATCAAGTGGAAATTTGCATAAATAGGTGTCTGCACCAAATGAAACATACTTGACATCATCTGTCATTTACTAATTCAAACTACCAGTTGTACATATATAAATAATCCGATTACTATAAATTCCCAGATGGAGGTCAGTTTGTGTAAGGCGTATCCATCAGATCTTTTATAATCTAATTTTGTGTACAAGTCCCAAAGGATGTGCTGTGACCTACAGTACAGGCTAATAGGAAAGAAAAATAAAGAAAAAACACCTTAATGCAGGCTTTATTAATTGCAGCACTAATTGCCGTTATATTGACTGCTTGAAGCCTGCATTTCAAATACACTACTTCAGACAAACCGCTTTGCAGTCACTCTATTGATAGAGTATAAATGACAAGACAATGAAAGACTGACGAGAAATCAAGCTCGGTTAATTGGGTTTTGCATCTCGTTGTGACTTTAATTCATATAAATACAACTTGGTCAAAGAGTAAACATGACAGTTGTAGTAATTTGCCTTGCTTTCTCCTGGTCTTAATTACATTATCGGTGCATGTAAACACACTGAGGGGTTGCCTGTGGTCCCGTCTCCTGCAGCGCTTAACTGTCACAACAATACCTGAAAATTTCTTCACCATTTCATTGAATTACTGACCCACTAAAACAGATGAGCTTGAAGGGAAGGAATTGTTCAGAAGTCACATATCACCAGCAGGCAACTGCATTTACTAATGGGAGACGATAGGCCTGGATTTAACCAGGCTGAGGCCAGTGAGGGATTGGTGTGGTATCGGGTGACGGCGAATGAAGCAGTGTGGATAGCTAAAACATTTACTGCAGATGCAGCTATTGTAGTTTTTCACAGAGCCGGGTGTCATTGATCAGGATGATATCTGGCATAGGGGAGTGTGTAGTTAAAGGCACATGTTTAACAAGCTTCTCCAGTATTCCCAAAAATTGTCACATAAAGACTTTCCATTATTATTCTGAACAAAGACAGAGTCGTTTTCCATCCCTCAGATCTGTCTTTTGTCAAGCCCTCCTCCATGAACAGATTACTTTTCTCAGGAAATAGCTTCCTAGATCAGACAAAATACTGTTCAGAGATAGAAACAAGGCCAGACTCTGCTCTTTAATGTAGAAATGAGCTCCTTTTTGTTAGTGTCCTAATGATATTTGAGTCAAACCATTTCTGTGTTATCTGGGCTGTTTTGTTCTTGTACCATTAAGACAATACCAACATGCAGGAAAACCCAAGCCTCCAATAAAACTAGCATTAATGGCATTGCAATATGCAAAGCTATGCAAATTTTATGCATACTGTCAACATACATAGTGGCTGTTCTTCGTTCATTTCAAAAGATATGACTGCAATTAGATGACAACTGATTGAAATCATTTGCGTTTTATGATTCTGTTACTTTTGAGAGCTGACAGGGTGTTGTACAATTCAGTGACAGTTTATTTTCACTGCATGAGGAGATTAACTGCTATTACTGACCCTGATGCAAACCAACCGGTAATACATTTCAAACAAACTACCCACTGTCTTGGCGATTTGCATATGGTGTGTCATTTACCATATTCTCTGATTACCTAATGATTTATGCTTTAATAGTATGCACAGAGCAATTTCAAAGGAACATGCGTACCGTACCTTTATGGTGACTGAGACAGAGAAAAATTGAAATGATGGTTGTAGGGCTGCAGGGAAAAGAAGTCTTATCAGTTAAGACTTGCTTTGTATGTAGGATTTCCCCCCCTTCTCTCCTTGGAAGGCCGGGGTGCAGTTGATGAATTCTTAAGCAGATCTCGCTGATAATTGTATTTCATAACTGTCATGCGGAGAGGGAATGTCCGCTGAGAAGCTATTTGTGTCACTGCATCTCTCTCCCTCTCTGTCTCTCTCTTTCTCTGCAGCCTCTTCAATGAAACTCAAATCACGACAGAGATTGTTAAGTCTACCTCCAAGATTATTAAATCCAAATGGAGAATTTATGGGTGACACTTTATAACAATTAATCTGAGATGCTTGATTAATAAAGTTCGCTCACCCCCCACCCCCACCCCCTTTCTGTCTTCACCTACCCCATCACTAAAGTTGTCCTGTCTGAGTGGGATGGAGGAGGAGATGAAAAGACATTCGGGTGGCAGGATGGTTGTCAGGGACAACATGGGTGTCATTCTTTTTGATTAATGGAGCATTGTGACCCCGCCCCTAACCCTTCTTCTTTCTCAGCATGCCCACTTTCACCTCTGCAAAGCCCCCCCACTCACCCACCTCTCACCATAACAGGTAAAAATAGATGTGGGCCAAGTTATGCTCTCCATCTGGTTTCAAGTTACAGTTAGACTACTATTTAAAAAAGATAGGAAAGGAAGTAAAGAAGGATAGAAAGAAGTTGAACAAAAGAAGCAGAGAAATGGAGGAAGAAAAATGTAAGCTAAAGGAGAAGTAGAAGAAAGAAATATAAAAAGATGGGGAAAGTGAAAAAACAAGATGAAAATAAGCAAGACAACAGTGATAAATAAAAAACCAAACAGAAATAAGGCGCCCTAGAGGGGGGGAAAGGAAAGAGAGAAAGAAAAGGCCAAAAAAGAGATTTGTGAAGAATGTCACCTACCTAACCTTGTCACCATGTTGAGTCAGCTGTGATTAATTAGTTGAGTGAGAGTGAGCAATTAGGTCAGGAGTTTGGGTGTGCATGAGGTTGTGTATGCTCGTGTCTGTGTGTGTATTCATGTGCAGCTTTATATTTTTCAATCAAGATCTTTTCATTAACAAACAACATATGACACATAGTTATATTCCAGTAAAGAAATAACTAAATAATAAAAAGGTACAGTATTTTTAGTTTGTCTGCTTTAGAAAATTCCACCATTACCCCTTTATGGATTACCAAGTCTTTCTCCACTCATTATGATTCATGACCTCCTTCACCCAAAGTCTGCAAACTGCTGGAAGTGGCTCCCTCCACTGTAAACAGAATCTTTCTTCTAGCAAGTGCTGAACAGAACAGTCATATTGGCCTGAGACCCACACATTTACATGTCTCATAGGGACACCTCAAACAGTGGAATGTATAATGATAGTTCCCAAATGTTGTACAATTTTCAAAACATATGTAAAAGAATAGCTGGTGCCTGTCTACATCAGTCACATGTGCATTTCTTCTCTTCCTGCTTTAACCCAATAAAGCCAAAGTAGAGTTAAAGACAGACTGAGGATGATTATGGCAACATACTTATTACTTATCTGTATTTAAGTTAGGGTTGGGAACTTAAACTCTGTTCCAATTTAGAACTGAATCCAAAATACCAAGTACCAGGTACCCATAAAAAACAGGATTTTGTTTCTGCTTATCGGTTCCTATACACAAAGCAAAGAGTATTATCTGCGAGGGTGAACATAGATATCTGCCAGAACTTGTCTATGTGACTGTGTCGCGCACCAACACAACAACCTGTCAGTTTGTTTACATATGAGCCAGCATGAATGGTTAATACCACTGATGTAATTTACAGCAATATGAAAAATGGGCTGTGGCAAATGGTCAAAAGTGTGGCTTTACTTTAGAAATGAAAACAACATATGAGGCAGCACGGCACTGATCTGAAAGACTGTATAGTGTTTGGTGTCCTTCGGTCTCCGAGCCCGAGTCTGTCATGAGCCGACACTAGTAGAACCTCGCTAGCACCTCCAGCGGAACCAGGGACAGATGAGGGGTGTCACAGAGTGGCAATGGCATTTGTGGTGAAAGGGCTAGGTTTCCTATAAATAAGACAAACAACAGGCAGCTCAAAATGTTGTCATCCACAAACAGTTCAGCCGCTACTGCTTCCCACTGTGTTGTCATAGAATATATGAGATTATTATTCATTACTGTTCATAGAGTTGGCAGTTATTTTACAGGGACAATTAGAACATTATTTTCTGTTAATTACTCACACATAGGACACTTTGGTTAATTTCAACACCCATAATTTTAGAACAAAGTTTCAACAAAGTATCCTCTACATCAGGTACTACTAATTTACACAGTTAAAGACAGTGGGCCTGTCTGTTAAGGATCCAAGATGAGTGGTGTGGGTTTCCTTCTGTAATGATCTACCACAGCATTACTGCTGCTGCCCCAGTGTAACGTAAAGCACAGCACCTGCCTGTTGGTTTATTGTTTTTATATTTATTTTTTTTTTAAAATATTTTTGTAGAGAAACAGACTTTTTTTTCGCTACACAGAATCGGAGTCATTATCAATAGATTTCAAACAATACCTAGCCCTATTTTAAGTCATGCTTAAGACTTTGAAAGAATGAATTTACATCCAGCCTGATATGCATCTGACTTGCTTTTGATTTTCATTTCAAGTCTGAATATACAGCAAACTTCTAGTGTATAATATTTTCATATATCTTTGCTTTGTGATAAAGAAAAACCAAGAGGGGTAAAAAGTAAGTGTTTTTAAAAAGGGACCCTGGTGTATTTATTGCAAAAATTTCTCTAGACTTATTTAAAAGAGTGCGAGCATAAGAAATCCTTAGACAAATCCTTGAACCAGTAAAGGCTTACAAAAGATCATATTTAACAATGATGGCTATATATTTTCCTTTCTGCAATTAAAGAGTCCCTCTGTGTAATTTAATGCTTCTTTTCAAGTGTCGAGTCCCCTGAGACTTGGCCTGTAGCTACGCCATCGCTCTTGGTGATTATCATTAATGAATGTCGGCGAGGACCATCCCTCAATGTGACTAGGGAGGAAACACAAGCCCTAATTAAAGGTTCCTATTCATAAATATATGCCTCAAACTACAAGGATCGAGCAGTGGTGTGCACACAAGTCATTTTAATGTCAAAAAAGCACCTTTTTAAGAGCATGTTCTTCCCCTAATGTACAGCACACCAGCAGCAGAGACAGATTTTTGCAGCCAAAGCCCACAGCAAGGCATCTGTGCAATTTGAGATTCACAGATTTAAATATAGAAGTACAGCTGAAGATTAGGATGTTCTAATTTGACAAAAAAAAAACTTCTAACTGCACTCTCCCTGTCTAAACATTATGATATCGTTTTTGTATGCTGTTCTCAAGAGACTGTTGTGTTTTATCGCAAAGGTTTATGTGTTGAGAAGTCATACTGTGTAAGGAAACAATTGTCTACCTAAGAAATGGAAATATTTAGAAAATGAATATGTTCAACAGATTACAGGATGTCACAGAGGAAGAAAATAATCCTCATTGCTTCTTTCTGTTCCCTCATAAAAACCCATTTTAATTGCTCTAAATGCAGACTGACAACTGCTCTCATGAATGCAAACGGCTGCATTGTCAGTTTCCCAGAAAAAGCTACTGGTAATTGTTATGTGAAGAAGATCATGTTAACACTGAGGATAGTATTGAGTATCTGAATGGTTTTTTTTTCCACAGCAGCTCAAAAAGTCTTGTCAGAAACAGAGCTTGGTGAGACAAACATTTGGCTGCTTCTCTTTCCTCCTTAATGGCTGAAAAATGCTAATTGGAGTGCATGTGTCAAAGAAAACAAAAGGCAAGGGAGGAGGAGAGGGAAGGAGTGGAAAGGCTGGTATTCTGAAACGTGAAATATGTCACTTTATTCAGCCGAGTTGGTAAGGATTTTTAGTAAGGTCGTTCCTGGAAGCAGGAAATCTCTCTGTCACTATTTGTCTCTAAGCACAGATAAAGTTTTGCCTGTAGTGGTTTGTAATGAAGCCCGTGTTTAAAAGAAAAAATACAGTATTTTGAAGGGGGGAGAAGCACAACTGCTGCTGAACAACTGTGTCACAGTTCACGTAAACAAGCTGAAGTTGCTTCGCCTCTCTTCAGTTTTGAGCTTTCTGGTTGCGATAAAATAACACACCGAATCCCTTGGAGACTCGAATCCTTTAATAAACTTGCATCTGTCACAGCTGCGCGACATTTCATCACATTCTTCATCCAAACTGACAAAATCAAAAAAAGCTCAGGTGGGGATTACAAACCTTTAATTGCATTGTCAAAACTGCAGCAACATATCGTTTTTAAGTCTACACATTAAACAAGTCATGGAAAAGTAAATCTCTATAAAATATCAAAACCCTTCTTTCTCTCTCACTATACTCACACTTGGCATTTTAATTATGCAGTCTTATCTGATAGATGTGGCGATATGGCTCATGTCAAAGTTAGAGCCTCTTCTTTATTAATTTTTTATTATATATTCTTATATTCAGGCTGTCAATGAGTGTCTGGAATCTGATAGGACCCATCATTGATTGAAGATTACTCAAGATTATGAAGAGAGGCGTTATCATAAACTGTGAGGACACTAAAGGAAAGGATTACACTGTTTTACTCCACCAAGAACAAGTTTAGAAGGCTAGCACGGTAGCAGGTCTTTATACAAGTGACATTAAAATATAAAAGAAAAGCTTTGTCAAAAAGTGCATCACAGAAACCTACAAGACAACGTGCTAAACACCACAGACCCCTGACAGCAAATCTGTGGCATGCACTACTTATACTTAAGTGCCAGCAGAGTCTAAATTTAGTTTGTGGCTGCAAAATTCCAAAATACGCATCGCAGTGTTCATTATTTATGGATATAAAGAGAGAGGCATTAAATTCCTGGCTTAGGTCATTGTGATTTTTGTAAATATACTCTACAATGATCCAAAATGTATCCTTAAACCTGAAATAAAATAAAAATAAGGCATGCAAAAAATAAAAGCCATAAGGGCAAAATACAGATTTTGTAAATGTGACCTAAGCATTGTTAATCTGTGTACGTTGTTGGTCTCTGCTTCTTTTTCGAATGTGCTGAAACTTTTTGTGCTCATTTTTGTTGTTGCATATTTGAGCAGCAACTAACATGTCATGACTTGGCTAAAGAAGTGTGACCACACGAACCTCACGGCATGACTGCTGTTTCATTTATTTAGAAAAAAAATCAGTCAGTTAGATTTGACACTGATTTTTGGAATTGTTAGGTGGTATACAGAAAAGGGTCCAAATGGAAAAACATCTGTCGAAATTATAATTCAAGGAGTTATTGTTAAAATTGTCAAAATGTCATGAACAGTCTCACATACTATACAACCTAGAAAGTTATTTAATCTAAATAAAATGATGTTGCTTTGGCATAGTTTCCAGTATTTGTTTTTCTCTTGGGAGCCACACAATCTTATTAAAACCTACAGTATTCTCATGCCAAAAAAAAGTATGTTATCGGTCATACAAGTCTGTATCCCTCACCTGATTCTGATTTGACAACCTGCTACTCCTTTGCAGTATGATTCAGATCTTATAAAACATCTTCTCTCTAGATGGTGATGCCAGACCTAGAAAAAGAAAGGAAGAGAGAAAAAGTAAAGAGTAATGTATGTAAATATACATGACGACTGTTCTGAGGGAACATTTTCATACAGAGGAGAAGGAAATGGGACGACATGTCATGGCGCTGTCACTGTGCCACAGAATGTGGAAGAGGGGCGTCATGTGTACAAGTTGGGGCTGATGGGAAACAATTGTTTTTATGCTCAGCTTTTGTCATACATACTCATGAACACAGGTGGTTGCATCACAAGCAGTGTTCCTACTATAGCAAGTAATTTGGATCACATTGTCCAGATACAGTATGTAGCTGGGAATACCAGTGAAACTTGATGGAAATGTTTCTGTAATAAAATGGCATGAGTTGAACAGGCTTGTCATAATTTAGCTGTGAGGTCAAGAAAATCACTGATTTAAATGAAAATGGTTTTACAGGTATTTTATTTTTTTTGAATAAATGTCAATTAGATGAGAGAGAGAAGAGAAAAGCAGAAAGGGAAATTATACCATGAAAGAGACGATAAAAAAAAAACAATATCAAGACAGAAAATTCATCATAATAGTAATAGAAAACTTTATTTTAAAATGAAAATCGGGGCTCGGACTGAGTCAGTCCTGCTCATGTGCAGACATCTCAGTGCAGCAATGGTTGCTGCCCCTGCCTCTTGAACCACATGTCCCCCCCTGCTGGCCCAGTGAAACACCGTAGTTTTCACTCACTCAACTAAGACCAAAAACATCAATGACTTCCTCGGTCTGTTTTAAATTGCTTTATTTTGACAGAGAGTCATTTCATTTTATTTTTAGTGTTTTGTAGCTGACCTCTCCTGAATAACAATCTCCCACCCAAGAGCACTGAAGGATGAAAAGAGTTTGAAATCACAGCATGGTTTTAGTGAATGATGAGGCATCTTATTTTTGTTCTTCTACTTTAGATGCATATACTGTTGGTTTATTGCTTTGTAAAACAAAAGCTGGGTTTTAAACATGTGCAATTAAAAATGTGAAATTCACTCAAAAGACACAAAGCACTTCACAACCCCCTCCACAGTATAATTAAAACCCATTTTTTTATGTTTTGTGGGAGAGGTACTGAAATAATAACTGCCTCAATGAACAGCCCTGCAGTTTATACATCATACTATGTTATTTTAAGTGAGTAGAGTCTACTGAATATCAAGAGTAAAAGTTGGTAGTCTACATGTGACAGCCTATTAATAGTGTTGATTTAGATTTAAGAATCTTAATTTAAATGCTTTCAACCGTACATATAACAAAATACATAAAGCTTCCTTAAGGAAAGGAAAGTAGTTTCTGAGCTCCATCTGTCTGTCTGTCTGTCTGCAGACTCTGGGATGGAAATATTAGTGACGTAAGTCTGCTCCATCAATCAGATGGGCAGGCCGCTCTGACAGACAGGGACAGACAGATGTTGGGGCGGTACTTGGTATTTCTTTTAGCACATAATAAGTAACCTCAGACGTCTTCCCTTGCGCAGATTCTTAGTTTTTCAGAGAAGCAGTGGCTCATAAACACCGAGCATGCAGACGGAGAGATCTTCTGTGGAGCTGTGTTGGTGTGCGTAATGAGGAGGAGACACCTGGCTGCAGTTTTTGTTACCTGTGAAATTGGGGGGGTGTAAATTAAGAAACTCACCAGAATTACTTAAATGAGGGTTGGCTCCACAGATTGTAGAAAGTTTGTAATCCAGTTTCTTGTAAATGATCCGACCCAAACCTCAGGCATTAGCCCGGACTGGAGCCGGTGTAGCTGAGTGAATAATTTCCTAAACTCCGGTGGCTGGCTGCAAACGGAAGACGAGCGCATCCAGTCGAAACTGAGCCAGTTCTCGTGCCATCCAAATAATATTGTGATTATTGCCGTACCCTATATTAGTCAGTAATAAAATCAAACTATAGAGTGTTTTCCTCTCTCCTCTTCACTCTCTTCCGGAGCAGGTTCTGCATTAAAGAGATATATCACGCCGTGTCATTTAAGATAACATTAGCCTAGTTGTGCGCCCTTTATAAACACTTTATGGCGGATAATAGTTAGGATGGAGTGTAGGCTGTTAATGGAGCCTCTTTTGGATTCAGAGCCCCTCCCCTTCACCAGAAGCCTCACTAAAAAGGTGTAACGAATCGATCTGCAGCCTCCTTTGTCCCACTAAAGAGGTCACTGAAAATATTCACATTTTTGCAAACTTTGACTGAGAGCGAAGGGCTGCTATGCACTGCACAGCTGAGAACATCTGGACAAGTGAAACATCTTGTCTGTATATGCTGTGCTAAGGTGAAAAAAAGCGCAAAAGGTATGTTTTATTCTTATAATAGCCCTAAACATTATTTATAATGGGGGTAAATAGTTGTCCCGACCACTGGGATACAGTTTTTACGTTTTGTCACAGATTTGAAGTTTTATTAGTGCTTGATGTTTCAGGGTTATAATCCCAGTCATCAGTCAGGCCTGATTTTGCGGTATAGCGACAATCATCCTCCTTCTGTGCACTAGCAAGTGCAATAGGGTTATTGGTGGTTTTATTTTTTTTTATTTCTTGCAAATTAAAAGGCAAAACCTGACAGACCACTGTACTGTCAATGAAAATATAACTGTAATCTTCATCTAATACTGTTCCTTCACTAAATATAACTGCGAAATTTAGTAGCAATGATAAAGAGAAACCGTATCTCACACACGCGCATCCTGCCTATCAACTTTCTGAAACACCTCTCATTCTGCTGTTTTAATGCGAGTTTACAAATCTGCTACTCCTGTGTCCACGAACAGGACCTACCTCTCCTGTAGAGTGTGCGTGTGTGCGGGACAGAAGGGCGTTGAAATGAAAGCCATCCCAGTGAACAATTAGAGCAGCAGATTGACAGGTGGGCTCAGACTGTCAGGGTGACGCTTGTAGAGGGGTGGAGTAAAGGAGAGGCCGGAAAGGCAGCTGGATGTGTCTGTCTATCAGTGGGAGCTGTCTCAACGCACCGCGCATCACCGATGTGCGCACAATACACTTCGAAGAATGTCCGGGGATGCTCGTAGCGCTTTTAAGAATAAATACTAAACAATTGTGTAAAAACCAGGAAACAGTAACAACAGTAAGCCACAGTCTGCTGCTTAGAGGGCGGGCCTGCTCGCTGCCTCTTCTGATGAGTTTCTGAGAGATTCGTCAAGTGTCCATGTTGACAATCGGAGCGACAGCGTATATGTGAGTATTTCGTTATCCGTGAGGTGTTTTCAGCGAGAACTGGGAGAGAGCGGATTGCCGAAGGGTGTCTCTGCACGCACGCACACGCATGCACGCACACACACACACACACACACACACACTTGAGTGATTGACATACACCCAGCTCGGCTAACGTGTCACTCCTTCCTCTTTTCCCCCCCGATTTCCTCCCAAAGCTTGTAGCGGAGGTTGGACACCGGAGCTGGCACCTGGACGAACGCAGGGAGAGAAACACTACAGCGCAGTTTGGAGACATTTCCATCCCCGAGTGAGTTACGCAAGAAGAGGAGCCCCATTTTCTTCACTTTAGCTGTAAACAAAGGTATGAAATAGTCAAGTGAGGGGTGTAAACCTCCTTTTGATGGAAACGCGGCGAGGGGCTCGGGCAGCTGTCCGTATCCTTCCTCGACAGACTGAGATCCGCACGGAGCTTTACGCCAATGTCCAACCAGCCCAGCCTGCCATGAGTTTCTGTGATCGGCAGAAGTTAACGGACGGGTCGTTATAGCTCTGAATCGTTTGAAATCTTAATTTTTCTCATTGGACCTGCTGAATAAAATGAACAGAGACGCGTAAAGATTGAACCTACCCTTGCATCACTTAAAAATACATCTTATCCTGCGAGGGATCTCATCCGGCTGAAGAATTGAGGAGACTCTACTGGCTTTCATTTCCTGCCCTTCCACTGGTTTCCTCTCCAGCGTGTCCGCTATTTTGATCTCTGCATGAAAAGTCAAGCGGAAAGTCCTGCAGCAGCATGCCGAGGAGAAAGCAGCAAGCACCGCGGCGGTCAGCAGGTGAGACCCCGGCTCTGCAACAAACTCCCCCTGTTAGAAACACGCACACTTTATTCATCCACAAAAACAGCCACGGACCTGCTGACATGCAGTTAAGTTTATACAGCAGCATATAGGCCTGACTCAAGACGCAAAACAACGAAGACAGGACCTGTTATAGAACATGGTAGCCTTAAATCCATCCAGTGTCAGTGTGGAGGAAACAGTAACCTAGTTAAGATGCTGACATTTGCAACATTTTAGCAGCTCCTAGTCTAAGGCGCGAACACTATTCTTTCCTTTGCGCATATGTTCAATGCCAGTTTTGCTTGGTAGATGTTAATGCGCTCAGCTGCATTTTTGAGTTTCAGTGCTTTAAAGATGCTCCTCGACTGGGTTAATAGCATCCAAGTTCTCCAAACAAAGCTCATCTCATTTTTACCGACTGACGTGTTTGACGTGTTAGTGCCAGTAAAAGAAGGAAGGAAAAAAAGGGAAATAGCGTATTTGAGCTTGTGTTCCGCTCTGGGATTGCCATCCTTGATTTGATGCTTGATTGATCGCCTGTCATGCGACTGCCTTTGATCTATTCATTCCTGATAAACATCAGTAAATCATTCACCATAGGGACACGCATGCGCCCGCCAGCTGCACTCCCTCAAAGGGTAACTTTTTGCCCCCACCGAGGAGCAGAGAAAAGACAAATTGAAAGAAAAGTTCTCAAGCGGGATAAATACTTTGCGATTAATACCCAAGGGGGAGGGAACAAAGGAGGAGGGGTGCTGGGCCGTAGCGAGATCAGAGAGAGGCATCGCATACAGAAAGAGCCCCAAACACTGCTGGGTGTAGTTTGGAGGTTATGGTCACTTCAGGCTTCAGAGCTGATGTTAAAGATGCAGTTGCAACAGCAAAATGATATGCATCTAACACCAAACATGGCTATAACACTGATAAATGAGGAGATTAAGTATGCAGGATCACTATTGGCTACCACAAACTTGCTATGGAAGTCAAAACAATATTATATACAACCTCAGTTTAGTGTAATGAACTTGCTAATAAAAATTCAGGTGTTTTGCCTTTTGACAGTCAGGCCTGCATGTTGTCTTTAAGTTGACCAGACGTGAACTGTTCTGCGAGAGAACCCTGTGTTTGCCTGAATCCATTTGATGTCCCTGGGAGATGTGAATGATTGACATGCATTTCCAAACGACGGGAAGAGAGGAGCCTTTGAAGTTAGTGCAGTAATGACCAAAGCCGAATAAAACAGCTGTAGAATGTTAAGCAGACGGTGGAAATGTGAGGTTAAGCGGACTTAATCAAGGTTGTGACTGAAAGACTTTGAACTTGGTGGGGCTGTAATTTCTAATTGACGCAAGGCTTTAGAGATGGATAGAAAGAAATGCGTTTGAAGAACAAGCCTACACTGTGAAAATGAATTGTTGATTTGCCACAAATGGTGGTGAAATACCTAAAAAAAAGTGTGGGGGGGCGGGGGTTTGTTTTCCCACCTCTTCTGGTCACTCAACCAAGCTCTGATCTGGCCCCATTCTGGCTCAGCCTTTTGAATATTGATTTAATTGTCTGGTTCTGTGACAGACACATACATCACAGGCAGTAATGGTCAGTCTTAACTTGGCAGGCTTTGTCTCTATGCTATTTCCAGTGCTTGACGTATGGTCAATCCAAAAAGCTTAACATCTCTGCTGGTGTGTGTGTGTGTGTGTGTGTGTGTGTGTGTGCGTGTGTGTGTGTGTGAGACTGCATCCTCTGTGAAATGGTGTACACACCTAAAAAAAACTCTATTTTTTGCAGTGCATTACCAGATATTTCCACAACCCAGATTTGTCACTTTGGAGTTGCACTAAAACAAAATGGTGCATACGCTCCTCTTGGGTGGGGGGGGGGTTCAATAGCTCTTTGTATGCCATTTCAAATGGGCTCTGTTTCATCAGTCACAGTGATGATTTTAGACCCTGTAATGGCGCTGTACCCTATCTACTTTATGACCAGTGACAATACATCAGTGTTCTTTCATTTGGAACCGCATTACTGCATCTGTTAGTTTTGGCAGTTGAGTTCAGTGCAGTGCAATTTGAGCAGCCGAGACTTTTGCTGCAGTCATTTGTTGTCATTTTCAGTCTCTTTTTTTTGTCTTCCCTTATTTTGTCTTCTCTTATTAAAGTGAAGTAGTTTAGAATATGTTTCTCTTAGGAGCTCAGGTAATTAATGAAAGCTACACAATACAGTAATATCAAGTAACAATAATCAAGGCAAGAATAAATATCTAATAGAAACAATATAAAGTTTTGGCTTCTGTTTTAGTTACATTTAGCTCGTCATGTGCATGTATTTCTTTAAGTGTTGTCACAGTTAGTGCTTAAACAATTAGTTAATCACTTAGTCCACTGACAGTAAATTATTAAGCAACTATTAAGTAGATTAATTGTTTGAGCCATTTAACAAACCAAAAATTACAGACATTGACTGATTGTAGGATTTCTCAGTTTCATATCATTATAAATTAAATACATTTGGATCTGGGCTGTTGTTAAGACAAAACAATTTACAGATGTCTGCTTGGGATCTGGGATGATGTGTTCTTAAGTAATTAAAAATGTAGCTTTATCGATAATAGGTTAGTTGTAGCTCTTATTGAAGTGCTGTGGTAAGTGGTTCACTAGCACACCATCAGCTTTATATCTAGAGAAAAAAAGAGGACATGAAAGAGTTTTATAGTAACTGCAGTGATCAAGAGATTACAGCATGTGACCTTTGATATTTGATTTATGACACCTTTTATCCCTGTTACAGGAAAACTGTGCATGATATCAGACTATTTGCACCAGAGATCATGTTTAAATCTGGCAACGTACAGTACACATTAAATCTAGATAAACAGTAATCAGTTTAATTAGTCCGTGTGAGATACTTTATATGAATTATACAAAGAAGCTATCATTTTATATTTTTCCTTGATACTGAGGTCACAGTTTTGATTGCTGGTGGAGAATTAATGCCGTTGCTGTGCATCTACTCTCGCTTTT